TAAAAAATGGTACACAGGGCACTTACATGCATGGAGCTTGCAGGACTGGAAGTTGCTGTGGGTGAATCAGTGAGTGAGTGGTGAGTAAATGTGAAGGCCTCGGACATCACTATACACTATCGTAGACTTCATAAACACTGTACACTTAGGCTACACTAAATGTATTTACATCTTTTTTCTTTCTTTGATAATAAGTGAATCTTCGCTTACTGTAACTTTTTAAATGTATAAATTTTTAATTTTTTTAACTGTTAAGACTATTATAACACTTAGCTTAAAATACAAACACATTGTACAGCTGCACAAAAATATTTCCTTTCTTTAGATCTTTATTCTATAAGTTCTTTTTCCATTTAAAAATTTTTATTTTATTTTTTATTTTTTTAAAGTTTTTTGTTAAAAATGAAAACACAAACACACACATTAGCCTTGGCCTAAACAGGGTCAGGGTCATCACCACCACTGTCTCCACCTCCACATACTGTCCCACTGGAAGGTCTTAAGGTCAAGCACAGGTGTGGGGCTGTCATCTTCTGTGATAACCAAGCCTTCTCCTGGAACCTCCTGAAGGACCCACCTACAGCTCTACTTGAGAATGTGTCACTCTTTTGAGAAATATGTCTATGGTGGTTTGGTTTGTTTCTTTTTTCATCGTAAATTTGCTTGTAAGCAGATAATGCACCATGAACATGCCTCTCTATTAATAAAAATCTTTCAGTGTTGATGTCCATGCTTTCAAACTTTTTAAGGAGCTTCTGGAGGTCTGAAAAACTTCTGCTATACCCTTCACTGTGAGTTTTCTTGGGAATTCTTCTTTTTCTCCTGCAGCTTCCTTTTCCCTTGCCGTTTCTTCAGCTTTGTGCTCCTGTTCCTGTTCCAATAACTCCTCGTTAGTCAGTTCCTCAGAAACCACCTCTAGGAGCTCCCCAATGCCATCCTCATCCACACCCACATTAAAGTTATTTGCCATCTCAACAAGAGCTGTGTTGACTTTTGCAGTTTTCTCATCTTTGGCAAATCCTTTGAAGGCATGAACTATCTTCTTGAATGTCTTCTTCCAGATGCCATTTATACATTCCTTGATGACAACATCCCAAGCCCAAGCAAAGTTCTTGATGCAGTCATAGATATTTTAGTCCTTTGAGAATTGCATCAGGCCTTCTCCTGGTCTGCCTTAGTTTCAGCAATATCCCAGGTAGTAGGCCTTAAAAGCTGCTATAATTCTTTGATCCACTTGTTGGATCAAAGAGGTGGTATTTGAAGGGAGTAACACTACTTTGATATTAGGATGGAGATCACCAGTGAAAAAGCGTTGCCTGGGAGCATTATCAACAATAAGCAAAATCTTGAAATGTATGTTATTCTCCAAAGAGTACTTCTCTATTACACTGGCATAGCAATTCAGGAGGGCATCTTGGAAGAGGAACTGGTCATCCATGCCTTCTTACTGTTCCTGCAGTATGCTGGCGATATGTGCCTATTAATATGCTTGAAGGCCCTCGGGTTCTCACTGCACCAGATCAAAAAGGGTTTCAATCTGTAGCCTGCAACACTGCTCCCAAGCAAGAATGTTATCCTGTCCTTAAAAGCCTTGAAACCTGGCTTTGATTTTGCCTCTTTATTGATGGAAGTATTTAGTCATCCATTTCCAGAATAGAAAGTTTTCATCCATACTGAATATTTGTTCTGGCAAGTAATTTCCCCCATAATCAGCTTATCTAGAGTTTCCAAAAATTCTTCAGTTGCCTTCACATCAGCACTGTCAGACTCACCACTCACTTTCCCATTATATAATGAATAATGATTCTTGAGTCATTTAAACCACCCAGAGCTAGCAGTAAAATCAACATCATAGTCAGATCCAGCTTTTTTTTCCCAACATTGCAAGCACACTTTTTGCTTCAGCCATGATTGTTATGGTGCTGTGAGGGATATGCTTCTGTGTCTGGTCTTCAATCCATTAGAAGTTTCTCAAAGTGTAATAGAGGACTTTCTCAAGTTTTTGTTAGTCTCATTGTCTTCAATGAAGCAGATCCCTTAACAGCTTCCATCATTTTGTTCTTGCTCTTCAAGATTATAGCTATGGTGGAATGGGACATATCTGACTGGTGAGCAATGACCATCACTGGTTTTCTACTTTCATAGTCCTTAGTCACTTTGAATTCTGTTTCCAGGTCTATCAACTCAATGTTGCCAGTCCTCTTTCTGGCAACATTAGCAATGGATTTTGTATGCTTTGGGGCTATAATGAACAAAACAACATGGGATTAAATCAAGCATAAGAGAATTATGCAATGAAGAGATGAGGGAAACAGGAGATATATGTTGACGCTGCTGCTGGTCCAGCATCACATGGCAAAATGTTTTACAGAAAACTTTTTTTTTTGTAAGTAGAAAGAGTACACCCTAAAGTAATAATAAAAAGATAGTATAGTAAATACATAAGCCAGTGACATAGTAACTTATTATCATTATCAAGTATTATGCACTGCACATAATTGTATGTGTTATACTTTTATATGAACATAACATGGTACATGGAACTATGATTATAATAAAACAAAGTTTGTGTCCTTAGTAAATGTTTATTTATGATGTGCATTGATTCTATACAGTTGAGACAATACCCATATACTTATACATAATTTATTGATGCATCTAAATAATACAAATTATAATGACTTTATAACATATTTTAATACAGTATTAGTAAGGCCATCACTATTAAAACATTCATTATACTCTCCACTCTCATTAATCCAAGGCTTTAAGAAAATATGTGTGGATTCACTTGAAATGGAAAAAAATGCAATAATTCAGATGTCTTTTTTTCTATAAGGCCATGCAATTGGATATTTTTTTAAATCCAGTTTTTATAGTAAACATTTTTTCTCATCTAAACTAAACAATTAGCATCATACAGACATCAGAAAATAATATAGATATCTATACAGCAATTTAGACTACAATATGTTTTCATATAAAACAAACTAAAATGAGATAGTTGCAGTTTAAAAGTTTGAGAGATTTCATACTTTAGAAGATTGCCTTAGTAATTTACTTTGCACAATAAGATTGGATGTTAAAAGAAAAAAAACTTAAATAACTTTGAAAATAAAATACCTAGAGACATTCTCAACTTGATATATACATGATATGTAAATATGAGTAGTATGTTCATATATATTCAAATGTATGTATATAAACATTTTATTTAGCCAACTTTAACTTAATAACAGATAATTTTAAGTAATGAAACCTAATAAGGGTATATTGAGAAGAGTATACAAGAAAAGTAGATTGAGTTAGAAAACATAAAATTGATATGCAAATATTTACCTTGTCTAATTCAACTATGAATATTACATGTTGTACTTGGTCAACAATATCTGAAAAATTTGCTTAAATTTTACAAATTGTTTGACACATTTCATCAGCTTATGGCTAGATCATTGTAGGTAGTCCTTGACTAATTTCCTTGTTGTCACACAGTTTTATACTTTAATAACCAAGAACCAACCAAATGTTTTTTCCTAGTGAAAAGAATGTTATTTGGCTAACTTTAAAACTGTGCCATTTCTGGGCCATTTATATTAGACTCAGGTAGTTAATTTAGGAAGTTATTTTGTTCTGAGAGGCATCATACTTAAAATACTGTATCAGAAAAAAATAATATAGGGTATCAGGTATATATTGAGTATACATTTAGGGCTGGCATTGCTCAGTCATAGGCATACATATGTGTAGCCTTAAAAGATATTGTCAAGCAAGTCACCAAAAGAAAATAAAAAATTGGAATTCACTTTGAAAAATTGTCAATTTCTGCTAAAGTTGAACATAATCATTGTGACCTACCAAATCTGTATCTGGGATTCAAATGTGCATCAGCAGACAGGCTAGAAACATTATTCAAATTAGCTAAAACTGTAAAAAAAAATCCAAATATCAATCAACCTACAAAGGGATAAATAAACACTTATATTTATACTGGAATACTATACGGTATAGCAATGAAAAATTCTATACATAGAAGCATGGGTGGATCTCACAAATGTAATGTTGAGTGAAAGACGCTGAACACAAGATTACATGCTTTATAATCCCGTTTGTATTATGCTGGAGAGCAGGCTAACTACCCTTAGATGATAAAAGGCAGAATGAATGTGGTTAGCTTAAGGGGTAATGATTAAATTATAGCTTCTGAATGTGGTTAGATTGAGCTGTATATTAAAGAATTGTGTATGTTATGCATGTTATATTTCAGTGAAATATAAATTTTAAAATAATATGCCAGTTGTAGGAAAGAGTTTCCATATTTGGGGTGACAAAAGTGCATCAAGGAAGAATACTGGGCAGGGAATTCCATTAATTTACTTAATCCTTTGTCACGTATTCTCTCTCCTAAATTTCGTGTTACATCAGAGACTTGCTAGCTTAGCCTCCAAATCCTCAGAGGTTCACAAACTTTTTGCCTGGGGCTCCTCCCGCTCGGAGGAGGGTACGGATGGAGGTGTATATAGGGATGCAGTGTGACAGAAGGTCGGAGATCCCTTCCAATCCCACACAACATAACAGGAACACGAGCCAAGCTGTAGGACTAGCCAAGCGCCCGCTGCCTCACTCTAGTTCCCAGTGTTTCAGCTGCGGTTCGTTGGACAGCGACAGGATGACATCCCCCCCTCCCAAAGAACAACAGTCGGGCAGGTACTATTATTAATCCCCAGAGGGATAAATCTTTGTTCACATAACGGCTATTCTCAGTTAGCTATAAGCGAGAACAAATCCGTGAAGCCTGGAACGAAGAAGCAACTGCTTTGCCTTCTCTCTCTCTCTCTCTCTCTCTCTCTCTCTCTCTCCTCTCTCTCTCTCTCTCTCTCTCTCTCTTTTTAATTCGGAGCCAGCAGGAGCCAACGTGCCCCGTCTAGAAGTGAAGCCCTGGAGCGTTGGACATCCCTCTCCCCGGCCCTGCAGTGTCTCGGGGACGCGCTGTGTGACGCGCTCCTCGCGGGCAGCGCACTTGTCCCGGCGAGAGGGAAATCCGTTAAGCCTGAGTCGGGTGCGTCCCACTTTTCAGGGTACCTGAGCGCACGAACACTCTCCAGCGGACGCTCCTGGAAAGGAGACCATGCCCCCCAAGTCTCTTTGCAACGTCTCCCAGATCGCTGCAGCGAATCTGAGCGGTGTCTACCCCGGGGCGTCGGACGCGGATTTCCTGCCCGCCCTCGACGGGACCCCCGCCGAGCTTGCGATCCGCTGTGTGATCCCGTCCCTGTACCTGTTCATCATCACGGTGGGCTTGCTGGGCAATATCATGCTGGTGAAGATCTTCATCACCAACAGCGCCATGAGGAGCGTCCCCAACATCTTCATCTCTAACCTGGCCGCCGGGGACATGCTGCTGCTGCTCACCTGTGTCCCAGTGGACGCCTCGCGCTACTTCTTTGACGAGTGGATGTTCGGGAAGGTGGGCTGCAAACTGATCCCTGTCATCCAGCTCACCTCCGTGGGGGTGTCCGTGTTCACACTCACTGCCCTCAGCGCCGACAGGTAAGGGCACAGGTAGCCTAGAAAAGTGGTGAGGGGGTGGGGAGTGCACACCTGGGAGAGGAGGAGAAAGGAGCAGCTGGGAGGAGCAGGAGGAGAGAGAGAGAGAGAGAGAGAGAGAGAGAGAGAGAGAGAGAGAGAGAGAGCGCATACCTGGGAATTAGAGTAAAAAAAAATAAAATGGACTGAGATGTGAAGCTTGAACAAATATACAGCAGTTATTACTTTGAAGATAATTAAAATCGCATGATTTTGAAAGTGGTTTTAAAATTGCATATGATAGTCTTGCTCCTCCCCGCTACATGCTCTGGGAATCTTTATTACCTAGTATTTCGTTAAAAGGCTATAGAATAAATGGGCAACAGAGCAGCTATCATATATAAGCTTTCTGTGTGTGCCTTAAACCTTAGACGTTCATTTTCCTTATTCGGTGGTTTAACAACCTGATAGGTAAGAATGTCTGCCTTAATATTAGGGAAATGCTTGATTTTGACTTTTTCTTTCAAATAAAAACAGGTAGGCACCAAATTTTTGTATCTTAAAACGGTGTAGAAAATGCATCTTTGATATTGAGTCTACTTTTCACATATTTTAAAGGTGGTAAGTGTCCATTATTCTACCTTGCAGATCAACTAGTTCAACTGTGTCATTTTCCAGGGGGAGGATATGGAGGCCCAGGGAATGTAAGTTCCCCTGCAGAGCTGGAAGAACCCAGTGCCACGACTGCAGGCTCTCTCCATTCTAAATGCTTTCACACATTTAAGCAGGAGGGATGTCTGGATGGGGTGGGCGCCAAACATCCAATTGGCCATCATTGCTTGGAGCTGGAGTCTAACTCCCTCGGGGGTATAAACAATTTAACTTGGATGATTAAGGTGGTGTTCACTCTCCTCTTTAATTTGCATATTGTTACCAATAAAAAGTAGTCTATTTAAATTTCCTGACACATACAATAATACCCTTCATCACTTTGGCATTGAAAAGTTCATCTTCATTCAAAGAAGACAATATTCAGTGGTGAGCCACTGTCTTTTTAAACCGAATACTACTGATGTTTTTTTGTTTGTTTGTGTAATATTTTCTCTAAAACCACATTCTTATAAAAATGGGTGCCTTTGGATAAATTACCCACCTTACTTTATGACATGATTTTTATTATCTTTTAAACAAGTTTTCTTTAAATTCATGATTAAAATGTGACTTTGTAGTTTAACTGCCCTTCCTTAGGGGACCCATTTTAAATAGAAAGTTTTTTTAAAATTCTACTTAGTTGTTAGAATAAAACTTAATGGATAGCTCTCGCTATAACAGTTAAAATTACTATCATTATGCTTTCACTTTTAAAGGCAATATTAATAGCAAGACCTAGGACTTGAGTTTATTTCACACTACCTTTCTCTGTTATCATGGAGACAGGTAAATTGGCTCTGACAAGGTCAGAGAAACTGCTCTTCCTCACATATTTACTGACTTTTCCAGTTTGTTATGTGTATTATGTACTTTGTAAGTTAAAGCATGGATTCTTGAATCATAACGATAAAGAAAGGTGGGTTGCCTTTTCTACTTGGTCCAGAGACTGCTCTGGGCTATCAGTGTGTATTTTGGAAATATCAATTAAGGAACTGGAATAACTGGAGAGGAAATTACACAATACATTCCAATATTAACTTAAATGATTTGGAAATGTTTTGTTATATATTGTCTATACTTCTATTTTTCTTCCAGAACATAATAATCTAAGTGTTGATTTGTACTTCATCTCCTCATACTTTATCTCACCAAATCTTTTGATTTCTTGTGAATTTGGAAACAAGTATAAGACTAATTGCACTTAGCACTGTGCTAAGCTTTTTTTATGTGAGTTTATTATCCTTACAACGCTATGAGGTAGGCACTAAATTACCATTTTAAACTGAGAAAACTAGGGCTTGAAATGAAGCAACATTTTCATGATCTCACAGTGAAGATGCCAGCATTTGAAACCAGTCCAAAATCTGCAGCCTTTACCATTAAGCAACGTTATTCCTTAGTAATAAGAAATTACTAACTTTTTTCCTATTTAATGGTAGACTAAAAAATTAAAGCAAAGCACCCAAGAATAAAAAAAAAGGTTGCAAAAACTGATTCATTAGATTCAATAGAATGAAAGATGTCATAAATGTAATTGCAAACTAAAAGAAACACCTTGAGTTCAAATTAAGCAATGATTGCAACAACAAAATAATTGCAAAATAAAAGTTTTTGTGGTAGTTTTTAAACAACAAATTTGATCGTTTTCTAAACCAAACCAAATATTCCACCTTCACAAAATTGCTTAACTGTCTGCCTCAGAAAATAAAGGTAAAGAGTTTAGAAATAGAGATCACAGTAGCATAGAAAAAGAAACATGAAGATAATTAGATTTGGGAAAGCATGTAGCAATGTGAAATGGAAAGTTAATGTTACATGTCATTGATGACAGCATCACTGGATAGAAACTGAAATAAATACAATATTTATGAATCTACCTTCCTTCATGTGTAAATCACGTGGTTTGATATGGGTGGCACGGGTGATACTTTTGTTACTTGTGATTATTTACCCTTGACTTCCTAAATTCTTGAGAGGAGTTTCAGCTGATTCATCCTTAAGAAAGATCATTTGTGCCCACTGTGGATGTGCCTCAGAGGCATTTCATAAACACAATGGGGGGAGAGACAGTACATGATCTGCAATGGTGAATGTAGTGCTCTTAGTTTATTTTTTATTTTTATCTTGACGGATTTTTTGGTTACTGTTTCAAAAATGTACTTCTTTTGCTCGCTTACATTAAATAGCTGATTAAAAGTATTTGCATATTCAGTGTCATATTGTTGCTACTAGTTTTACACAAACACATCCCCACCCCCAATGTTGGGACATGTGTGCTGTTGACACTGGGTAAGTGGAACCCCACAGACCACATTTTGATCATGGTTCTCATTATAGATATCTTCTTCATTATCTATTACAGTAGCTGCATTTCCAAACTTAGAATGTTATTTCTTTGATTCTTGAAAACTTCCAGCCTCTAAAACCCCATAATTAAAATGCAAGTATCTTTTAAGAACGAGTTTTTCCTTTACAGCAAAAATTCCCACAGATTCCTAGTGCTAAACTATAAATTTTATCATTGTATGCAATTACAAAATGTAAAACTAGGTATCGATTTCATATTCTGTTTTTTTTATATACAACTGTTAACTAAAATGCATTTACAAATTAAAATTTTAAAAGCTATAAAACAATAAAAATGAAATTAATATTAATTTAATGTACCAGGTTATGTTGTTTTCCTGATACAAACTAGCCAATATTGGACTCAATGCAAAAATAATATTGCATCTAATCTGACTAAAGTGCTAATATATTATTATAATAACCTCAAGCTTTTGTATGCTAGTTAGGATAAACAGATTTCATTCCATAATTGAGCTAGTTCTCTTAGGTATGAACCTTAAATCATTACTATTATACCAAAGCAAACAGATAATTTCTTCAGCATAACTCTTGGGTTGTCGGAAAAGTCATGACGTATTGTTCCTGTTTTTTGTTGCAAAAATGCATCATGTCTTTTCCGACAACCCAATATTTGTTAAAATATTGAAACAGATCAGCTGTGGACCTTAGGTCTAGCACCCCCTAGGCTTTAGGAAGCGTTTTCATCAGTCTTTGTTCAGTGGTGAGCGGGAGTGCCATTATCTGCTGGTTTCTCACCAAAACGTCTGACTGAAGCTCAATGCTGATTAACTAGCTAGCCCTGACTGGAAATGCGTTCTTCTTTGGTCAATAGCACTGGGCAGTATGCTGAGAAGCTCCTACCTCTCTCAATAGGTGCTGAGATTGGCACTCAGCACGCTTCCAAGCTCTTTTGAAGAGTTCAGGCTGGCTATGGATACCTAAGAGAAGAGTCCACACTCACCCTACGGATAACCCATGTTTCCAGGTGATGACATTTATTTTCACCTTGTTCCAAAAGAATTTGAGGCAGCTTAAAGATAAAGATATACATAACATACAATGGGAATTAAAAAGGAAGGAAAAACAGGTATAGGGAAAATGAAAGGGATTCATACTTTCAGGAAATGCGAGTCTTGCATTTGTCTGAGAGCTTTCTAGCTGCCAATTCAAAAGGACAATTTGTTTTGCACAACAAGTGTTCAGTTGTTATTTTTACATAACCGTGGAAACGAGATAAATTGTAATCTGCACTTAATTTATTAGTTTTTAATTTGAATTTATATGGCTTTTCCTTAAATAAAGGGTGTTATATTTGACTCCATGGAATCAGATATCTTTTATTCATTAGTCTGAAATCATTCTGGCTTATTTGCTTTTCCCTTCTAATTCTCACATTGAATTAGGTGCTATACACTCCTCACAATATTCACACGGTTGCCATAATTTATATATTACTTTATAGGTTTTGAGGATTACTCATCCATGTTGACCTGAAACCTTTGGGACACACTGTGAATTAGAAGAGAATGCACCAGGCTGGGGCTTATGGGATCTGGGTACTAGTCCTGCAACCACTATGTCCAAATGTTCAAGTTGGACACAATGATAAAACAGCAACGACAGCATGCCCATAAGGCACTATCTTCTTCATTTGCAAAATAAGAATGATATCTTCAACTGTGACGTTGAGGGTCCTAAAATGGGATCCTATTACCTCCCTCTCTGAGTATTGAGCAAAGAGTGGCTCAAAGAGAAGGTGTACTTCATAATTAGTGGGGCAACTAGGTGCTCAGTTCAGTGCTCCAGAGCTCTGCCTATTGCACTCTTCCATGTTACCACATCGCAGACAAGTCTCTCATTTAATTATTCAATCTGGTTCTCATTTGTCCACTTCTCGGTGGAAACAGACCTAAGATGTACCTCTCAGACTTTTGCCCCTAGTAGTGCAATTAAATAGGGGGCCATCCCTTTTGGCTGAGCCATGAGATCAGACAGTAAAGTTCAACCCTTTTCTTATCGCTACTTGTCACCAGGAGTACAGTTCCTATTTGTGTGTTTCAAACCCCCAAATAACAATTTACCTTGGTCCTTCCAATTGCAGATTGCCCCGGAGGGTAGACCGATTTTCAAGGTCTTGTATAAATTTTATACAATATTTTATTATTGTTTATTAGATTATTTATATTGTTTATAGATTTTTTTTCAGCTCTTTGGAGATCCTCGTCTACACCCCAAATATACTGACAATCTGGTATTTTGAATGTTCATTTGTTTATTTTTCTATACAGAACATGTCTTTATCAAACTTCCTTTTATTTTTTATCATGTGGTTTTTGTTTTTGTTCTTTTATTCTCATTTGTTTCCATATGACCAAGGTTATTTTCATTTTCATGCTCCAAAGTGATGATCCAGTTTAATTTTGCTAGCTGCAAACTTAATGAGCTGTCTCTTAACATATTGTTTTAATTATTGATACAAAATATTAAATGTTATTAGGCCCACAGCCTACTCCTTGTGAACACTGCTGATCTATTGAGGTTCTTGGTAATATCTTCTGTTCCCAGTTATTCATAGGTCTTCATGGGGAGCAAGAATAAACACTAAACCTTCACTTCTTCCTAACACTTCCCTTGATTCATCTATTTGTTATTAAGTTTTAATTTTTTTTCTTAATCAGCTTTTCAATAAGAATATTTTTTTTAACTTCCAACATAGATCTTCTTCTTTACTTTCTTTTATTATTTGCGGACATTTAGGGGGAATGTGGTTCCAGCATAAACAGATGAAACAAACAAACAAATCTTGGAACTATTCCATAAGGAAAAGAAAATTAAACATTTTCTCTATTGGATCCATAGATATATGATGATTTGAAAACTAGCAAGAACCTCTAAAATTTAAAAATTTGATAAAGAATTCAGAAGGAAGGGTGTAAGCCAAAGTTAATAAATTATCTTAGAAAATAAAACCAAAAAGAAGGTAGAGATGAGTTTGATAAAGTCAAAAACTAAGAAAGAAGAAGAATTGAGATTCAAGCACTGGGCTTTAATTATTCAGAAAGGTGGTTTAATCCTTTAGAAAAGGATTAAACTCAGGTAAATGGAAAATTACGTAAATGAGAAAAATTACCAAGTAGTAACTTTAGGAAAATCAGGGCCATGTATAAGAAAGAGAACATCATCATAATATACTACTTAGCTCTGCAGTGAGTGATATTCTTTAGTCATAATAACTATGTATTGACTATATTATGAACACTTAATATAACTTACTAACTCAGGAAGTTGGGAATGGAGGAAAATGATGTAGTAGAGGGAAAATCTTCAACTACCATAACAAGATGTCAAGAACTAATGCTATAATATTTGATTCAAGAGTCAGTGACAGGCACACATTCTCTAGCTATATGGAGGAGATGATGTGAAATTTATTTTTTAACTCAGGAGTGGGACCTGACATATAACAAGGGACATCTGTTTTTTCTTCATAGGACTTTTATTGCTCTCTGATTCAAAAATCAAACAAACAAACCCCTGTGAATGTATTAATCTGATAAAAAAATTTTTAAAGCAGGAAAAAAAATAGCTCATTCTAGTTAACTGATTGTAATTCTCCTTTAAGCTTTTTTTTTTTTTAAAGATTTTTATTGGGGAGTTAGGGGTATGGGAACAGTGTTGGGGAATTGGGGGAAGGGGAACAGACAAGTTGCTGTCGTTTTGTTCTTCAGTCTAGTTGTGGAGGACATTGCTTCACTGGCCCAAGTTGGCACCATCATTGCGCTCTTCCCGGGCGAGGCAGATCAGTCGCTGGCTTCTGGACGGCCGCTCACTGCGGCTCCTGGCCGCTCACGCTGGCTGCTCACACTGGCTGCTGGTTACATACGGTAGTCCATGGCAACCCACTGCAGCAGGGGCTGCAGCCTAAGCTGTTGCCAGCGACTTATGGCAGCCCAGCTCCAGGTTGAGCTGTTGTTCAGCATCTTAGCTGTAGAGGGCAGTGTCACTGGCCCTCATCTGTGGGATCCGAACCGGGGCCCTCTGGCGTCCCAAGCCAGTTCTTAACCAACGCTCCACTCGGCCGGCCCTCCTTTAAGTTTCTTAAGAACATGAAAATAAATAATAGAAGGAGGGAACTCACACATGCCTAAGTGAGTTCTGCCATATCTGGGTAAAATGCATGACGTATGCTTCTCAATTTGGTGTGGAAGCCCTGTGCTGTTCCTCTACTTGAATTTCTGTTTCCTGTTTCATGTGGGAAGATCGTTCAGATCAAACGCAAGTGGCCTTTCTCCTATTGAGGATCTGAGGATGACACTGATGAAAGTCAGGACGGAGAAAGAGAGGGTCAAGGCAGAGTGGGTTTGAGCTTGGGAGCTCTTATGTCCTGTGGAGGATGGGAACCATCTCTACAGAACTTCAGAAGGAGACCTTAACTTCTTGTTATGTAGCTTGAAATATTCTGAATTTTTAGAGCATTAGACTAAATCAAATGTAAATAAGAAGGTAGAGGGTCACGGTATAGTGAGCATCTGCTCATTGCCAGGCACTGTAACAGGTGCTCTATACATTTTTTTCTAATCACAAAACTTTGATGGAAGTGTTTTTATCCCCAATTGACAGAGAAAGAAAAATACCTTAAGTGATTTTTCCAATGGATATCAGAGAAAACAGCTCAGGTTTGTTTGACTAAAGTCACTTTTTACTGTATATTGTTAACTTCCTAGGTATACCTTAACCTAAAATGTTTTCAAAGACAAATATAAATAATTTGAGGTTTACATACAGTTTTTGCTTTGTTCGCATTATTACTGAGTGAGTTAGTTGTAGAAGGTTTGAATAGTTTAGGCCGTTGTGTCCTGGAGTGTGGTTTCGTTACTGCTATGATGGTGTCAGGTGGGAGAAGAGAGGATGTCATGAGGTCTTCACATTGAATAAATTGGAACTATAAAGACAGAATATTATCCCATTGCTTTCAGTCCTTCTGATTGAATTTTGGAGAAAAACCCAGTTTGGATTAGTCTCTAAGATTTACTAATGTCCTTAGGAAAAAAGTGTGTGACTCAGGCTCAGAAGCTAAAGAAGAATATCAAGGTAGAATTTGATGATATTGTTTTGTGGACATTTTATATTTTGTGGTTAATGTATATCATGGCAATTATAGTAGTGATAAATTTTTTTGAAAATGCAAGTATTTAAATAATAATATTTAATAAATGAGGATATTTGTACGTGTGCATTTTGAAAAAAAAACAAACAAACCTGTGTAAGTGCTAAACAAATTATTGCAATTTGGGAAATGGCAATTTCAGATATTTTCTTCTGTCTTCCTGTCTTCTGTGCTAACAAGCAGTGGAATGACTTTCAGACTGAGACACCAGGGATTTAGGGATTCCATACACTGCAGAACAGCTAGGGAACAATGGAGTGCTGGCACCTCTCTCTAGAAAGTTAAGATCTCCCCTCCCCTCCCCTCCTTAAGAGTAATTTGAGATGTATTGTCTTCCCAGGTACAGAGCCATTGTAAACCCTATGGACATCCAGAAGTCAGGGGCGGTGCAGCGGACCTGTGTGAAAGCCCTCAGCATCTGGGTAGTCTCCGTGCTGTTGGCTGTTCCGGAAGCAGTGTTTTCAGAAGTGGTGCGCATTGATAGCTTGGATAATGGCAGCTTCACAGCGTGCATACCCTACCCTCAGACGGACGAGTTACATCCAAAGATTCACTCAGTGCTCATCTTCTTGGTCTATTTCCTCATACCCCTCGCTATTATTAGCGTTTATTATTATCATATTGCAAAGACCTTAATTAAAAGTGTACATAATCTTCCTGGAGAATACAATGAGCATACCAAAAAGCAGGTAAGCTTGCGCGTGCACCGCGCTTGTTGGGGGTGCGCTGGTCAGCTGTAGCAACTGCTATTTGGTGTCCTATTTCATGGACTTTCAGTACTGGGAAGGATTATAAGAGTCAGAGGGCACTGGGCCATGCATTGGCCTGAACTAGAAGGGGCATTGGGCGGGGGTGGGTCTCCTATATGTGGCCATGTCGTAGCTCTGTTATGGCTCACTGGGGTCCAGCTTCTCTGCCATTTGGGTTCGCGACCATTAGAATGTCTTGGAAGGCTTTTTTTTTTTTTAACATGCATTTTAACCAATGAGAATATTTTTTTGTATTTGCAGATGGAAACACGGAAACGCCTGGCTAAAATTGTGCTGGTTTTTGTGGGCTGCTTTGTCTTCTGTTGGTTTCCAAATCACATCCTCTACATGTATAGGTCTTTCAACTATAAGGAGATTGACCCATCTCTAGGCCATATGATTGCCACTCTAGTTGCTCGGGTTCTGAGCTTTTGCAATTCTTGTGTCAATCCCTTTGCTCTTTATCTACTCAGTGAAAGCTTCAGGAGGCATTTCAACAGCCAGCTCTGTTGTGGGAGGAAGTCCTATCCAGAGAGATCAGCTAGCTACTTAGTCAGCTCTTCTGCAGTGCGGATGACATCTCTGAAAAACAACGCTAAGAACACAGTGACCAATTCTGTTTTACTAAATGGGCACAGCACGAAGCAGGAAATGGCACTGTGAGTTTCGCCATTCAACTCACTACCTGGAAAGAATGGACTTTTCTATTTCTATTGAGTAGAGCAAAACGAAGCAATTTTCTCTTTCTTGCCATTTCTCAGCTAATTCATTAGACAATTTCATGATTGACTTAGAAAAGGAAGGCAAATTACTTTAAAAAATGTGTATTACATTAAAAGTGATTCAAAAAGCAATTCAATATGTGTACAAATCAATATTGCTTCAGGATTTAAGCTGTTGCTATAGCTAGCTTTAGTGTATTTATCTTAAATTTGTTTTATTCTGAGGCAGAAAATAAATTCCTATATTGACTCAATGATTCAATGAGGGTAATACTGAAACTCCTAATATTTGAAATACAAGTCATATTTTCCTAGTGAATTTTATTCATTCCTAGGGCATGTATATATCTGCTTTGTTTGAATAAAATAATTAAAAATTAAAAAGGTGAAACTAAATCACAAGTCAATAACATTTATTGTGACTCTTTGTGTGATTAATCATAATTTATAGAAATATGCCTGTAACTTTTACAGGTATTACCTGTGATTAGAAGGTATGAGGTTGTTTGTATTATAAATAGTAAAAGATATCATCTGAATATGATTTCAATGATGAATATAAAATAGATCATATGTTCCAAATTATAAAGCTGTGACTCAGAAATTGGCATGGCCACCTTTCTGTACATCACTAAATCCCTGAATATTTGGATGATTCTGTTATCACTCTGATAAGATTTGTGTAATTCTGGTGAGTTCAACCATGAAATCATCATTTCTTGCAACAGCCACTTGACAAGGCAAGTTTACTCTGCATGCTATCACAGTTTTCTCTGAATAAGTGTCTTGGATGTTTTCCACCAACATAAAAAGATGGTATTGATTAAATTCTAAAAACTATCCCTTCTTAAGTATGTATCTATAAATCTAACATTTGGATTAATATATTTCATACTATTTTCTCCTTCCATATTTGCTGAGTGGAAAGAAAACTCAGTATACCAAGCTCTTTCTTAAACATCCCCAACCTATACTACTGAAGATACGAAACACTCAGTTGTATGTAGCAATGGGAAGACTAAACACAAGCAAATTGTCTATAATAGTTGATACTAATAATGATAATGAACATCAATCAAATGTTTTCCATGTTCTAGGTAAAATCCTAAAGCTTTACATGTACTATCTAACTTCATCCTCAATATATAACCTGTGAGGTGAAAAAGAAAAGGATCCAATTCTGGTAGAGTATGAAGTTACAACTGGGGAATGTCTCTATTAAAAAAATACACAATGCTGCAAATTTTACAAAAATACCTGATTATGTGAACACACTGCCAGGGCCCTGAACTTAGGCTTTGTTCACATGGTAATTCCACCTCTGAAATATGTCTCCTTGTTATCTTTATTTTATAAATTGGGACACTGGGTCTGAGATGGTAAGAAACCTAAAGAGGATTACACGGCCATGTGAAAGGTGGGATTTAAAGCTGGATAGACACCACACCATGGTGTGTGCACTCACTATTCCACCACCACTCAATTGTGGCTTTCTTTTGTCTCAAATAGTTGTTTTTAACCATTGGGGGAGTTTAGTTCTAGTCATTAGAAAGGTGCAGAATATTATGCACAGATTTTATATTGACACTGGGTATTTTACAAATCTCTTAAGGCTCATTCATTAAAAATCTAAGGAGCCAAGGATAACCCTTGGTCAATGCAAAATCTTTCTCCCTGCTGGTATTAAGATGGTAGTAGAAATACACCTAAGAAAGATTGTAACATATATACATCTTGAAAGTTCCTTTTAATTTCATGTATATACAGTTATATTGCTTTATATCCATACAAATTTATAAATACATGTATATATATGAAGCTGAGGGGCATATATATGTACATCTTAAGTATAAAGTCCTGATAAAGGGCTGGCCAAGTGGCTCAGTTGGTTAAGAGCTCGCTTAAGAGTGTGAGCTCTGAGCAACAGCGGTTTGATTCCTGGCCTGAGCTGAGCTGACGCTGAGCTGCTAACAGGTGGCAGGATGGCTCAGCTAAAAAAAAAAAAAAAAAGTCCTGATAATTTAAAGTTTAAGAGGAAAATACTGTTATATAATCTGCTATCTGATGTATTTTTCGGGAATGAGAAACATTTATTGATTAAATATTTTAGAAACATCTTATTTGCACCTGTCTTGCTAAAAATCTTTTTTTTTTTTTTAAAGATTTTTATTGGGGAATTGGGTGTATGGGAACAGCGCTGGGGAATTGGGGGGAGGGGAACAGACAAGTTGCTGTCCTTTTGTTCTTAAGTCTAGTTGTGGAGGACGTTGCTTCACTGGCCCAAGTTGGCACCATCATTGCGCTCTTCCCGGGTGAGGCAGATCAGTCGCCAGCTTCTGGACGGCCGCTCACTGCGACTGCTGGCTGCTCACGCTGGCTGCTGGCTACACACGGTAGCCCATGGCAACCCACTGCAGCAGGGTCGGTGGCAACTCAGCAGTCCAGCTCCAGGTTGAGCTGTTGTTCAGCATCTTAGCTGTAGAGGGCAGTGTCACTGGCCCATATGTGGGATCCGAACCGGGGCCCTCTGGCGTCCCAAGCCAGTTCTTAACCATCGCGCCACTCGGCCGGCCCAAAAATCTTTTTTTTTTAAATGAAACTAATGCATTAAAAATGACACCAAAAATTTCAATTTTTCTTTTAAAAAATAATTTTAACAATAGCCACATATCTGATTATATAATATTACCAATATTGTCACACTTTTGGCTGCATTTAAATTTTTTCTTTCTGGTCACTATTAATATTGAAAGTCAGATTTTTCTCTTGAGGCTGAGCCCTGGTTTGGGAGACTCAGTCAATACTTATAGCTCTGTTCATAAATTAGGCAGGTGAGGATGTTGCAGACATTTTTGAACCTAGCTGTTGCACGCCACTGCTGGGATATAATCCCAATTCACTCACTGTTATTTCTCATTTTCAAAAGTCCTTTTCTCAAATATTCCCTTTCTTAGAAATAGAGGCCTGAGAGTTACTATATTAGCACATATTCTATATTTAGTATGATGAAAGCAAAATTTTGATTTTTGCTTTTATCATATACTTCCAAGTGAAACCAAACTTCATGCCTTACACACACAAACATACATACTCACATATGAGAATGGGTTCATATCCAAATTAGAGCTTCACCTTTGGCATTGATTGCATTTTATGTTTATAGATACATGTTTTATATATTTATTTTTGAAATATTTATATGTATTTCTGGGCATTTGAATATTTCATTGTTCTTATATTTAAAGAATAAAGTTAAAAGAAATAAACCCCAAATTTATCTATGACATCAAACTACAGAAGCAAATCAAACTAATTATGCATATTTTCCAGAGTAGAACAAAATGCCAAACTCCAAATCTGTTAAAATAAACATAGAGTGAAATAGACCTTTAAAAAGATAATCAATTTCCTGATTTATATAATTTCATCTAATAGTATCTTAATTCAGGAAATGGTAGGAAGAAACTATGTCTAATATGGGAATATCTGCCAAAATGAAGGGAAATATCACCAAATTATTATTTTTAAGATAGGGATAAGATATGTCCTGTTATGTCAGTCTTCTCTTTACACTAGAAGTAGTTCAAAAGAACTACAAAATATTAGGGTCCTTGGAATGCTTGGACCAGAGAATGCCCTCCCTTAGTTATCTTGTCTGTAAAATGGGTTAACAACATCATAAAGGTTACATTAGACAATGCATGTAAAGTGCCTGGCATGTTAGTAAGTTTCCAGTAAAGGCAGGTTTTATTATTGTGTTTTAAAGTTATCTTTCTACATGTAGTAAAATAGTAATGAAATTTATTAGACATGTACTATTTGCCAGATCCTGTATTATATCCTTTATAAGAATGCCTCATGTCAGCTTACAAGACTAGCATTATTTTGATTCACATTCTGTGAACGAGGAAACTTGGGGTAATGAGCAGACAATGTAAGGATGAAAGAGCTTATTGTTGAACTCTTGTCTATCTGAATTAAAATTCATATATTCTATCTATAGTCAATACTTCCAGGAATCTGGAATTCATATACGTAATTCACTGGAAGGTACAAATAAATATGTCAACATTTTCCTCCCTGAAAGGTAGAGGTTACCTGATGATGAAGGACAAAAAGGAGTGTTTTTCTGAGTTTACTTTTATCATTCTTAGGGTCAGGATACTAGCTTAAATTCTGAGTCACCCATGTGAATACCTATATAACCATAATTTCTGCCCCTGAGTTTGTTTCTCCATTTTGTGCATGATATATAAAAAGAGGTTAAAGAGAATAATAAAAGTTAATGGAACATTTTTTGATACCAAAACATGTATTTTATTTGACTGTTTACTTGTTAGAAGATGTCTTAAATTTTTATACGATTTTATAGAGCTGTAAAATAGTTAATGGATTTTGAACAAGTATAATTTTTCCATTTAGTAATATTTTATTATTGGCTTCATTGCACATTTAGAAAATATTTCCATTAAGTTTCTGAGAAATGAAATGTTTCAACCATCAGGCTTTTCTTAAAATTTTCCTTAGACTTTTTCAAAACAAGGGGACAAACTGTGAGTAAATATGGTCAGTTTTGGTAAACTGCAAAATTTTTTAAGTTATAAAAGAATGAAAAAAAGAGGGCTAAAGAAAATCTGGGTATAACTACACCTTTAATGGTTATTGGAGGAAACGCTACTTATATATTGTGGTTACAGCATTTTACACCATTTTATTTTCTAAGTGACTTTACAAACTTATTCCAAGAGCTCTATTTTTTCCATATGTTGTGTCTTTCCAAAATCTCAAACAAGAAATTTTCTTACATACAGACCCAAGCCTTAATCTATGGTAGGTAATTTGTGTTTGAAGTAGTGGACAGCAAAATTTAACCAAGATGTTATTTCTAGGAACTAACTGTCCACTTGGGCAATAAACAGATAATAATTACCCATTATCCCTCATAGCAGAAGAATAATAAATTTAACCCACTTAGGGACCTAAAATTTATTTTAAAG